GAGCTGAAAAGCTGGTTTTGGAGCGCGCGTGAACTCCCACATCACGAGACACAAAGCTAAATCAGATAGGCATAACGCGGTAGTCGTCATCGAACTCAGTCTCGATGATGTTGGTATTGTACTACTAGACGAAACGTGGATAGTTGAACAGCTTGTGTGAGAAAAGCACCAGTTGCGTGCCCTATGGAGCTGGCGAAGTCACTAAAGCACCATTTACGCGCGGTTTCCCCTTTGCCACATCCAAAAGCGTGGACGGTTACATGATGTAAAAGGTGACTGCTGGCAGCTTCAAGTGGGGAAAATCCTCAATACCTAATAGGATGCATTATCTTGACAACATGTAAGATCAGTGTTGTACCAAGTTGTCGTCTGCGATATAAAATATGCTGAGGAGCGACCGGCAGTTCGGTTGTGCTGTTCAAAGTTGGCGACTGTGTGATGCTGTGTTAATAGAAGTATGCAAGCTTCACGGTATGGATTTAACCGATAGCAACAGCGATGGATGGCTCTCATCGTGTGTCGCTCATACTGGATGATCACAAACACAGTTCACTGGATGCACCGAAGGGGTGATCATGCATCTCTGCTCGGTTCTCAACGCAAGTTAGTGACATGCGTGTTGCGAAAACCTGGGTGAGAGATAGATAAGTTAGCAAGTAATATGGTATATGGACTTAGTCCTAAATCAAAATACTATTCCTCTAACGTGAATCGATGAAAACGTAATGTTCATTCCCTTCGCATTGTGAACAGTTAGCACAAGCTAAGGCATAAGGTGACATCGACTTCAATATCTTATTTGGTACTGCGCCGCACCACTTAACGGAGTAAACGATCATCGTTGTTTAGATGATCCGACGTGCAAAAGATAAACGACACGATTGATCTCACGACATCGCTATTAGTGGTGTATGTTGTCAGAGAAGAACGCAGCACCTGCGTTGAACGGAGCGAACCTAGACAAGGCGAAGAGTTTCCGCTGTAGTTCCAGCCCAACAGTCCGTCTGGTCACAGTATGCAGTGCCAGCAGGGAGCTTTCGTCTGCATTTCAGCATATTCATCGACCGCTCAGATATCCAGTGATTGGTGCGGTGACGATTGATAATGCCGCAAGCGAAGGCTTCTGCATTGTGAATGGCGGCCGAGATCCTGCTCCACTGAAGCGCAGTGTCATTAGGACAATAGAGTGAAAGTTAGGTACGTAGTGCATCCTGGTAGGCTTGCCTGACTGAGGTGACTTCTCAGTTGCCAATCGCGAGACGCTCGGTAAGTCTCCCGGTAAAGTTCATGGAGAAACGACAGGATACCAAAGCATAGTCAGGATCGACGCAAGTATTCTAGTACAGGCGACTGTCCAGGATGGAACCACGCCATCTGTAAGTTACGGAAGCGTGATCTATTTGGGTCCACCGCACACCAGCTACAGACGGACTCCAAGTAGCACTTCCGAGCGTACCGTGTCTAAAAGCGGTGCTACTAAGAAACAGATGACCCTCCGTGCACAGTTACAATACGCTTGGTGTCGTCTGTTCGGTGAGAGTTCGCTCCATACTTACCACCTGGCAAAGCTTCCGAAGAGGCCGGACAAACTAAGTGCGCACTCATATCCCCTGCAACAACGACGATATATGAACTGGCAACACTGCGAAGCAGCGTGTTCAACTAGTGGTAGAAGCCGCCTTTGGAAGTATCATAACTGCAGTCAATTAGTGCATAATCGGCAACCACAGAGTCCAGTGCTATTGTGTGAATAAACCTTAGTTGATGTCCTCAAACGGTTCGCACACAAGCGGCTGCTTACAAAAATTCAATCAACCAACGGTGACTCAGTCTTGCAGCTCAAAACGATGCCTACCCCAGCTTGACCAGTGATTGTCGCACCAGCGTCTCCGGACGCGTGTAACCAATGGTGAGAGGGCAAGTCAAGCGCAGTTAGTTCAGCAACCACGTGAGGGACGTTGAGCTTAGTTATGACACGCAACATACAATACGCAGGGTGGCCAACGTGTGTGGGAGCGCGGCCTGTTGACCTATTTATTTTGGAGTACGGACGTTGAACACCGCCAAGGAAACGGACGGCGTGACCTTATGAAGGACTGTTGCCGATGGGCGTCCGGTGATTGTTGCGGGAAGATAGCTGCAGGTGACAGAACTGCAGTGGCATTGCGGTGGGAATTAAGAAAGAATGGTTAGTAACCTGGTTGGGAGGAGAGTAAAAGAGAGAAATGAAGGGCATCAGCTGTAGCATGTTTTTGCCTATCCGCCACGCTGTATGTAGCAAGTAAGGCAACCCTTGTAAAGCTGTGCGACAGTGATGCAGTGTGTGGTTGTAGTTTAATGAAACAGCTATGACTGTAGGTGAGTTGATATACAGCTAGGGTGCCCGAACTCAGACAGAAGAATGATTGATATCCTCAAGCAAAGCCTATGGGTCAAAAGAATATTCTCAAGGCAGCGGAGCAGTAGCAACGATCCGGTTTTACAGAAACCGGCGTCATCCGAATTCCAATAACAACCTGGAGGAGGACCGGGAGACTGAATTCGTCTAATCTCCAAAGATTGATTAACGTGGTAGGTGTGGCTCTCAAATGGCCCGGGGACACTACCAAGTCAAGCTCAATGAGTTGGAAGTAGGCAAATCGTCGCACCATGTTAAGGTCCAACCTCACTGCAGTTCGAGTGCCTGAAATGAACATTATGGAGAACCATGTCTTTCGCTCTACGCACCATTAAAATCTGTTGATTAATGGAGGACTGTCCTACTCAATGCCTTGCATTCGATTCGATCGCTTTTGTGTGCTACAACACATATCGCCCCGTACTAGATAAACTTCAAATGTAACCGAAAGTATTCACCAGGCTATTCCATTCTAAGCTGGCTGTCATCAACGAGTCCATGGCTATTAAAAAACGCCTTGCTCTTCAAATGCGATCCTTTCGTAGAACAAGTTAAACTTGCAGTGTGACCCTCCATATGCTTTGCGTAACTTTCAAACAAGAGAAAGGAAACCGTATTAAGCTGGCAACAGGCCGTATGGGCGAACACGCTCGAGCACGACGGCCAGCTACTCGCCGACTCAAAAAACGATAGCATCCGGACATGATGATCATACCTGGTTACTGGAACGAAAAGTACATGTTACCAGGCCAAATTCAACCAAAGTTCACGGAAACGTCTCTACTGAGCGGATTCAAGGTACTTCAACAACGCATAAGTCCACATCACGTGAGAAGCGGAGAGGCCTAAACATGAGCCCTTTTCTACTGTTTGAGAATATTATCTGACTTACGGACCTCCATTAAACCTGTTCCCCAACATCGCTTCTACCCCAAGACAAACCATGTCTGCCACATGATTCCTTTCAGCCCTGAGTGGCGTAGACTGTGGTAGTATTCCGCTTTGCATACTTGTAGTTGTCATTAAGCTCTTCCTATCCGGTACACTTTCAGTTCCCGCCTCAATTTACAAACCAATAAAGCCTACATCTCTAAGTCTTGATTACTGACTCGTTGGTCTCTCTCGGGCCATTCCGTCATACTACTATTAAGAAGCCAAGCAGAGTGAATGCCTATGCCCGGTGTTACTGCAATAGGCCGGGCAGACAGTTTGGTCTGGCGCGATGGCAAACATGTGAGCAAACGGCCAACAACGGAACGTAAGTGTGTCATGGGTGGCTAGAAAGATTGTGTGGGCGTCGGCCGTGTGAGCGCCGATCGTGTGAACGAGGTTGTGCCAAATATGGAACGCAGGTGCGATGTGTGTGGCTGGTGAACTCGTAGTGGGCGTCGACTGAATGTACGGGGGCCGTAGTCCGGCACGAACAAATGTCCAAACATAACAGAAGCAAAAGGAAATGCGTTCATATTGGTTGAAGCCAGGACGCCGACGACGAAGAGTTCGAGGCGCCCTTAATTAGGAGTTTAGTCGATCAATAAGTGGAACCATTCAGTTCCATAGAATACACTCCTATTTGACGGTTTTAATGGACACCAGGTATAACGGGCTGAAGGCAGCACTACCGCCGGTGGGCACCCTAACAGTAGGCAGCAGTACCGCAAGTGATGACCCCAACAACTACAGCACAGATTTTGTGTCAGTTGCGTTCTTGAATTCCGGTTCTCGCATCTGGGTGTTGACATCTTATTCCGACTGATTTTCTTCACTTTTTGCTGAACTCCCCTTTGTATCTATTTTGCGTCCCACCTGGATTTTCGTCACAATTATTTGTAGGATGTTTGTGAGTAACGTATTTGCTTCTATCCTGTCGAAGCGAGTCAATTGAATCATAATTGATGAAACAAACTGAACTGGCTAAACGGTCTGAACCACAACGCAATAAGAAACATGTCTAGATTGGGAGTGATATTGCAGCCTAACTGGGATCTGAGTAAAATGTCACACGCAGCCTTTGACAATTGAAAACAATGTACGTGCTTTTCGATCACAGTATGTTGAACACCTGCAGCTATCCGTAGCTGCAGGTAAGAGTCGGCGTATTTCTGACTTTTTGACCACGAGTTTACAGGCCTGAAGTAAACGTAAACAAGCCATTGAGCATGGATGGTTCTCTCATACCGTCAAAGATAACGCGTGGCAGTCGTGCTCTACGCTAATCGAGCTGTAAGATAGTAACCTGTAACTCGCCCCATGCGCCGTTATAAAGAAGACTATTAGTCTTTCCTCATCCGCCGAAGAGGATGAAGAGAGAGTTGATCTAACACTTAACCATTGAGCTGTTTGGCATATGGAACGTGCCACACAGGATAACTCAGCGGGTCACGATGCAGACAGATCTTCGCACCACTTTAAAATGGAAACTTGTCGTGATGAAAGTGTGATACACAGCATGAAACTGTTTAACCAGCCGATTTTACACTAACAATTGATAAGGATGTAATGACTTAAGTCAGCCGTAGTTGAATGCGGCTCTGCATCTGATGAACGATATCAGTATTAAAAAAATAATATGTAGCAGAACATTCTGATAAAAACGCCTTACTCCCGAGCATCCTGCAATATTCTCTCTTTCAATGCGGTCGTTTGATCTGAGCTCAAGAACGCACCTTCGACTGAGTTGAACCTTTTCAAAATCTGATCTTGCATTAGTGAGATCAACGGTGAGACCACTAGGGCTACAGTTCCGTGTGTTTTCTTGAAGCATTCGAAAGAGGAACAAATTGTATACAACTGCATTAACTAAAGATTACCTGGAAAATTGAAGCTGGAATTTGGTAACACAGAGATTTTCCCGTAGCAGTAGGCAAGATTGTCAAGGTAGAAATACCTAGGAGAGTGCGCAATATAGTAAGTTTTTGACCAGGTCGAAAGCATGGAAATCCAAGTGTCTGAAGAGTGTGTTGAACAAGCCCTTCGAGCTCCTCTAGTGAATACTTGCTCAGTAACGAGGTGGATGTCTTCCGTGGCCGTTTATCAAAAAACTCACTGTACTGAGTAGGGTGAAAGCGATTATCGAGATCATGGCACTCAAGGATACGCCAAGTAGAGCTTGAGATATTTAACGTATGCTGTGCGTTGGTGTGTATATCGACGGAGGTCCTTGTCTCCATAATAGTCAACGGACACTTGTTCGCCCAATGTCCCTCCACACCGCAACGGAAACAACAGTTACCATATTCTGAGCCATTCATCGACGAAAACTTTCGTTTGAATCTCTCGCGTCTGACTTTGCGCTGCAATGCACGTTGCCTGATAGACCCCTTGCGACTAAAACATTTTTTCCGTAGATTTAGCTTCAGGTAGTTTTTAGTAGGTGCAACACGGGAACAGGGTTTCTTGAGGCATGAATCACGAGACATAACCGAAGCTACGTATTCACTGGGAGGAGAATTACGCGATTCGGAACAGATGGAGTTCGACCGGGTTGCAAGATGAGGATTGTCAGTTTGCGAAGGAAAGGACGATGAAGGCAATGAACCATGCGCAGAACAGTCTGGTACATCGACATTAAATTTTCCCGGAACGCTGAAGTTCAAAGGACTAGGAGATGGAACGTTGGCATCAACTGATTCAAACGTGCCACAGATATTCAGACCCAAAAGGGATCCGTGCCTGAGGACCTTGCTTTTAGTATGCGCCGAAGGCTTGATATTGATCTGCCACTGATCTAGGTGTCCATCGTTATTACCAAGTGACCCCACATTATGGGAATGAGGAAATGACCATGAAACATATCCAGCGGGTTCATCGTGTGGGATGTTTTCCTTTTGGGATTTAATCAATTCGGGTCCAAGGGAGACATTAAAATGGTTGGAAACCTGATGCCGCCTTACCAAAGATACATCAGTTTCATGAGCATAATTCATCAACTTTCCAGAAGCAATATTCTGTTTAAGTGATCCAATGTACTTGTCCTGTATCCGACATTTTCTCTTCTTATCTGTAACGGATCGGAAGTTTACAGGTATATCCCAAGGACTGCATTCAGGATCGTCCATAAGGCGGAAGTGCGGCTGAAACAAGAGAAGAAGAGCAGACGTATGATCATTTCTTAGTGTAAGAAACAGTTAAATAAGAGACAGATAGCGATTGGTCCCACGGCTGAAGTCGGGGTGCAGACAGTTAGTAAGACGTTAAGCAAAAGCAGGATATAAGCATGAGGCATGGATACACGCAGTGATAAATTTAATGGACTCACAAACCAATCGAAAGAGTGGTATGGCTAGGTTTTGCAACGAAAAAAGTTTGACGAGCAACAACGCCGAACTCCGGTTAGCATATAAGTGAGAACAAAGAATATGCAAAGAGACAACAAAGAACTTGAATCCGTCTGGCTAATAGTTTGACCGTGTCCATGGTAATCGAGAAAAAATGTCATGTCTTTACAAATAACGGGGAAAAAGATGACACTTAAGCAGGGCTCGCTACGAAGTCGTCTGTAATACACTGAAAACATGTCCAGCCTGAGTGGAGACACACTTGAGCGGAGACGCAAACGCAGATGACTTACTATGGCGGTTTTCCTTGACCTGAAAGCCGCCTTCGACTCTGCTGATCGTGCCAACTTGTGGCCCTGCCTATCTGTGAATCTAATGCCTGGAAAAGTCCTTCCCATTCCGAAATCTCCCTACGGAAAAATGTCTCCTGAATTCCCCACGACAAGTCGGGTTCGCCAAGGCTGTCCTATATATCCTCTTCTCTTCAACCTCCTGATTGAAATGATCATGAATGATTGCGTTACATTATTCTTCCGCGTTAAAAGTTCTGCTAGGTGACTGACTGACAAACCTTGAGCATGCTGAGGACATAGCTCCCCTTGGGTTTGTCGCAGTGACTATGCCAGCACTGTCGGATACACTGAAGCATAACGTTGCACGCTCCAGTATATGCTTCGAAACTGAATTGCGGGGTGTTAGTGAAAGGGTGCGTGGTTCCAGCTACTAGTGAACAACCACTGGAAGTGGTGGGTCGATTCACTTACCTCGGTAGCTGCGTCATCACTGGTGGTCACATACCGAGGAAGATACTTCGCGTATCAGCCAGGCCCATGTTACCATACAAAGACAACCAGATATGGAGAAGGTGCGATATCAATCTGTCAGTGTAAAGTGGAGTGCCTAACGCTGCGGTAAGGCCGGTGTTAGTGTATGGATCAGGCACCTGGCCAGTTTGCAGTGAAGACATTAAAAGCTTAGCGGTTTTTGATCACCAATGCTTTCGGAGCATTGTCCACATCTTTTGAAAACACCGAGTGAGCAATGCTGAGATTCGCCAGTTGGCAAGGAACCTTCTGGTGCTTCACCCGAGCGTTGTTTAGTTCAACCATATACGTTGGCTAGGTCATGTCCACCGTATGTTCGTTGACTATCTTACTTGGCGTGTATCATAACCTTCGCTGCACAAAGTTAGACAAACCCGCAATGCGGCCAGTCTACGACACAATAACGTGGAAAACAGTGTTTGAATAAACACTTGAAACGAAATTTGGCTCTTGTCAAATTTCATCTGATCCAAGATATCTTGGGTCGACTAAAGTGGTATTGGCCAAAGCGTCTTCCTGACGCTTACTGGTAATTTTGCGGTTGTTCCCTTTTTAATCCCGTTTTACACCCTGTTTTGCCTTTTTATTGTGGTAGTTTTACGGTTGTATACGTGTTTTTAAATTCTGCGTTGTTTTCCACTTCAATATGGTCGTCTCGCGAAAAACCGGGACGGATGAAGCCCTCGCGTCTTCGTTTGATGAGTCAAATGCACCTTGCAGCAATTCTGCCTGTTCAAGGCCAGTCACAGATTCATCTGGTGGTATGCAGTGTGATATTTGCTCTCGTTGGTATCACAAAAGTTGTACCGGCCTCCGAGCGAATCAGTACAAGATGCTATCATCCAGTGAAAGCCTTCTGTTTAGATGTGCTGATTGTTGCGCTCAGAAAGCGAAGCTCCCGGCTTTCACCTGTGCTGAATTCAAAGCACTAGCGTCCAGATTCACAGTTGTCGAGAAGGCATTAGCCGAACTTGCCTCACTTGCCTCGCTCAATTCTAAAAAGGATTTGATTATGAAATCCCTGAATATCGCGAATGTGGACGCTGTAACTGACTGTCCTGCTGATAGTCCAATCGTTGACGAGGAGTTTATCCTACCGGACGCTCCTGTTCACGTGGATATAACAGACACAGATGCCTCGGACGGCACTGTTGACCCACCCCAAATGGAAGGCGAATCACGGGCTCCTGAGCCATTAAAGAATAAGCGTAAGAGGGTAAGGAAAGCGCGCAAACCCTCCGCCCCCAAACCGGAAGGTGACAAAATGCTCAAGAAGCAAGCGCCTGCTTTGAAAACACCACCTGGTGTTGCACTTCCCTCAGTGCATAGTTCGCCAGACAACCGAAAAAAGCCGTCTGTCGGCACTCCAACTGCAACTGCGACCTACGCAGCCGTGGCCAGCGCTGGCGCCGCAAAACCACCCGGCTGGGTCCGGGCCCCTAAAAAGAAAAGTTGTAAGACGGTAAACAACAACAAATCGAAATCACCGTCTACAGTGTCACAACTAAAGTCTGTGCTAAACAAGGTAACACGACTTGAGAAATTGCTAGCCGAGCAACCGGCCTTACCGAAACCGGTGAAGCCAAGCGATAGCAAGTCACCACGGGGACGGCTATGCAACGTCATGATTTTCCACGCACCTGAGTCGACTGATCCCAGTCCCCAGGTACGCTATGACCATGATGTGCAATTCTTGCAGTCTCTAACCGACAAACTACTGGATGTTGGCGAACCCGGGTTACGAGTGAAACAAGTCACTCGTCTGGGGAAACAAGTTGATGGCAAGTGTCGGCCTCTGCGCATCGCGTTCGCCGACGAAACTGCCCCAAGGTTAGTACTGTCCCGCCTCGGTCGCCTAAAGGGGATGAAAATTCATGTCCGGCCAGACCTTGATCCCGCAGAACGAGAGCAGCTGAAGTCTGCCGTGATCGAACTGAAACGACGCACGGACGCCGGTGAAACTAACCTGCGTATCGTAAATTTTCGCACAGTTGCCCGGATACCCCGAATCCGGGTAAACAGAGCAATGACGCTTCAAGCTCGCCCAGCGGTTCCTGCCGCGGATTGCGTGTAGCGTTCATTAATGTATGCAGCTTAATGAACAAGCACCATGATCTGATCCGCTTCATTGCTTCACGTCGGCCAGATGTGGTTGGTTTGGCTGAGACGTGGTTGACATCTGAAGTGACAAGCGAAGAAATTGCGATCACGGACTATTCGTGCTTCCGCTGTGATCGACAGTCGAATAGCCGCGGTGGCGTCCTACTTTACCTCCGGTCTACCCTGTGCGGGAGACTCGTGAGCACCTACCGGAGCATTGACGGTCTATGTGAGCAGCTGTGATGTTCGATCCACCTACGACGCGGCGAACTACTTGTGGGTGTGGCATATCGTAGCCCACTGAGTAACGGATTGGATTGGCTCACACACGTCCAAAACCAAATGAGTCGCCCGCAGTTCCTGCTCACTTGCGACTTTAACCTTCCTCGAATCTTATGGCCTGAAGTTCAGCTTCTCCCTGGCCATAATGAAGTGGAGACAAGATTCGCCGAACTGGTACTGGAAACCGGAACGGTGCAGCACATCACGCAACCCACCCGCATAACCCCGCGCTCAACGCCATCATGCCTGGACCTGCTGCTAACCAGCTGCGAACAAACAGTGCATGACATAGAAGTTCTTGAGCCCATGGCGGCCAGTGATCACTCGACAATTATGGCCACTATAGACCTGCAGCTTCCATGTGTGCGTCCAGTGGCGCCAACATACAACTATTGGAAAGCTGACTTCGATGGCCTCATTCTAGCTGCCAATCAGCTTGATTGGTCTATGCCACAGGATTCATCCGTTGAAACTTGCTGGGCAAACATTAAAGGGGCAGTGCACTCATTGTGTGCGCAATTTGTACCCCTCAAGACTCGGAAAGTTGGACCAATGAAACCCCATTGGTTTGACAAAGAGTATAACCGACTGTCTCGACAACGACGTCGACTATGGAATGCGTTCCTCCTGTCTGGCTCTGCCGATGACTATGAGGCATACAAGCGACAACGAAACTTGTGCAACAGCACAAAGACGCGAAAACGCCGTCAGTTTGAGGAGCAGCTTGCTTGCTCAGCTAAAACTGCCCCGAAGCGCATATTTGCGCACGTGAAGCGACGCCTGAAGTCTGCAGGTAATTTGCCGGTGCTAGTGGGTTCGAACGGACAACCACTAAGTTCAAGCACCGAGCGTGCGTCCGCATTAGCGGCGCACTTCGCTTCTGTATTCGCAACTAACCAAACCTGCGCGCCAAGCTCTGTCGTCGCCGCACCGACTGAGCTAACCGACTTGATCTGCGACGTCGCGAAGGTACATGGGCTAGTCAGCTGCCTAGACAGCACGAAGCCAGCTGGACCGGATGGTCTCCATCCGCTGATCCTCAAGTGCTTATCAGCTGTGATCTCACCTGCTATAACCGACCTGTTCAACCGATCCCTGTCCATAGGCTGCGTGCCTTGTGACTGGAAATGCGCCGTTGTCAAACCGATTCCAAAAGGCGGTGACACACGCAAAGTGGAGAATTACCGCCCTATTTGTTTGACCGCAGTATTGTCGAAAGTTCTTGAGAAGATTGTGAAGAAGAGACTGCTCCAGCTACCGGAGACCAACTCTCTCCTGACGCCTGCACAGCATGGTTTCGTGAGAGGCCGCTCGTGCATCACTAACCTGCTGCTAACATGGCATGAATGGTTGCAAGCAGTAAACCAACGTAAGTCAGTCGACGTGGTATACGTCGATTTCAGTAAGGCCTTCGACAGAGTGAATCACGAGATCCTCCTTCAGAAACTGAGGGAGTGCGGAGTCGGAGGCTCCCTGCACCAATGGATCCGTGACTTCTTAGTTGGACGGAAGTGGAGGGTGCAAGTCGACAGCCACCTGACCGACTGGTACCCGTCGACGAGCGGCGTTCCTCAGGGGACGGTGCTTGGC